CCTTTCTCTGCGGGTTCCCTCCTTCCAGCAGGGTTTCCCACAGGAGTCCTGGCATTGTGGAATTCCTTGGCTGGTGCAGAGCCAAGGAGATCCAGCCCCTGACCCTTCCCATCGTCTTCCCATTTCTGAATGCGCCCTGACATCAGCTCAAAGGCCCTGTGCGTCTGCATGCATGGTGAGCCCCAAGACCCAGCAGGCTTGGCTCCTTCCTTTCCCTCCTGGGGCTCTGCTTGGCCTGCAGTCTTGCATTTTCAAAGGGAGAGTCCAATCTCCTCCCCGGGGTTATATATCGACAGGCCTGATCTTTAAAGATAGCCCTTGCTCCTGGGGGCCTGCTCAGCAAACACAGAGCATCTGTGGCTTCCATGTTTGTCCTCTTTGACAAGCAGGGGTTGAGCAGCTCTCGGTGAAGTATTGCTGACATATTGATTGAACTCTCTTGTCAGGTTGATCCTCTGCCAGCCAATGAACATAGAAGGTTCTAAAAGGCACCCAGCAGGGTCCACACATACCCTAATTACTATTTTAGACAACCCTTTTAGGAAGCTGCCATTTTTCGAGGCCTGGCGTCTCCATGTCCTTGTGCTGGCTAGAAAATCCTGTCACCTGTAACCAACCTGCTTTCTCTACCCTAGGCTTGATCTCAGAGTCTTTCTTTTAGATCCCATCTATCACCTAAACACAGGCACTTCCAATGATAAACTATTAATCAACCGGAAAGGAGGTCTGACTATTGTTCTTGCAAAAACCTGGGATCTGTCTGTGGCCTTCCCTTGTGGCCTTAGGTTCTTTGCAGCACTCTAGGAAGGTTCTCTCCAGTTAGCTGAGGGATACATCCAGGGTGTGGCTGCTGACTGTGCTTTTAGTGGCTGATTTCTCAGATACCACCTGGATTCCATAAGCTTCCACATCAAGCCCTTCCCTACCCCATTCTTACTGACCCATGGAGCCCATTGTTCCATCCCAGTGTCTCTGTGGAGTAAAGCCTGTCAAGTCATGATGAATTGTACATTTTGGCTGTCAGTGGGGGCGGGTAATTCGGAAGAGAGGGCTTCCAGAACTCATTTCACTTCTGACCCTAACATGGTCTGAACCAGACCTTTTGGGATGAGCTGCTGGAGCATTCAGAGAAGGAGGAAGAACCATCCCAGGGCAGTCAGGATATCTCCTCCAGTAAAATGTAAAGTGACAGGCATTTATGTGAAGTACTAAGATGAAGAAGCAATAACTGTGGATATCCCAAGGTTTCTCAGCTATCTAGTCTCGCTCTGGTAACAGAAAAAAAAAATGAAGGTATTATAATTTCAGAGAGTTTGCTGTCTGAAAC